GGATGAGCAGCTGGCAGGGTCACGTGACCCACTCAATAAACCCTCAGCCTTGGATCTGCCCCGGGATGCAACAGAAGGGATTCTGTTGTTTGTATGTCCATGGAGAATTCTCTCAATCTGTGCTGGGCCTGGGCTGGTCTGCTACTGAGTGACGCACAGAGGCATACTGATAACACTCTCCCCGTTTGCTTTGCCCACTCTCCTCACTGTCCTTCCCTCACGGAGTCCTGGTAGCAGCATTATAAAGGGAGCTGACTTACAAGTGGTTTCTGGGCCCTCTGGCATGTTGATTCTCCCCTTGGTACTAAATGTCAGGCCAAGTCCCCAGTGTATGTGATAGTCCCTGGGATGGGGCAGGCATGGTGAGGAGGTTTGCAGGATTTATGTTCTCGAAGGAAGCAGGGAGGAGTGGGCAGACGTCGGCAAAGGTGTGGTGGGGAGGGTGTGTGCATGAGTGGAAGGGTGTAGGCCCGATTTTTGACTCAAGCTCACCTGTGAATCTCGGGAATGACTGCACTGCGGGCAGTGGGGTCTCTGGGATGCCTCCGGCAGGAGAGGAGAATCAGGCACAATGTGCGTATGAGCAGGAAGAGCAGAGCATGTGTATAGGAGCTCAAGGGCCTCACTGCCTTGCGCCTCTTTTAATCATTGCCCCCCGGGCGGAACAAGTGTAGAACACTACACCTGGGGGCCTGTGCTCTGATGGCCCTTTGCACCTACCCTGCTGGGTGTAAATGACTATGCCAGGGCAAGGCAGTGGGGAATCAGGCCTTGTACAGACAAGGTCTGGCTAAGGTGTGGGGCTTAATCCAATGTCCACTGCTGTCAATGGACACTCTGATTGGTTTCAACGGGGGTGGGGGGTCAGGCTCTTGGTGACTAGGCAAAACTGACATTTGAAGGTATATACAGCAGTAGGCATCCCATGTCTGCCTACCCTGGCGAGCAACCACTGCATGCATGATGGGAGTGCGTGTGTGAGTGCTAGTCTCCTGATTAGCATATAGTCCTTATGCTGTCTGTCACCCGTCCCCACAATAGCAGCATCTTCCTCTCCTCAGGGAGAGATGTGTGTCTAGCACAAAGCTCCTGTGACCAGCGGGAAGCTTCTCCCCTCCTGCCAGCCGAGTGAGCTCCGGCCTCTCAGTGATTTTTGTTTTGCTAAGAGATTCAATTTCTGTTTTCTTTTTACAAGACCCCCCTCCCTTGCTAATGTGTTTTTCCCTCCCTCCCCACTTCTAACGCCCATGTTTTCACAGTTTAAAGCTGGAGAAAACAAAAATAAAAAGAAAAATACTATCCGGTTTTCTTGCAAGTAAATCCACGTATTGTATTTACAGTTATTTATAGTTGGTTTTGTTTTATTAAAAATTGCCACTTGTTTTTTATAAACTTTTTTTTTTTTGCAATGTTGCTGTTAAACACAGGATCCCCAGGGACTAGTGAGTCCAGACTGGTCACCATTTAACGCCCTGGGAACTCTGGGGACCAAGGACTCAGCATTAACCCCTGGGATTCCCAAGGACAGGAAAGTCAATGTTAACCCTTCAGGGACCCACAAGAGACACGAATCACCTTTGATCCCAGGGTTGTGGCAGGTCTGAGTAGATCACAAGTAACCCCAAGATCTCCAGAGTCATCGTGGACCCCTAGAACTCCCACAGATGCACACATCACTGCTAATCCACCCACCATGCTTCCTGGAGACCCCCCACTCCCGGAGCCTGTGAGTCCACACTGGGTTAAAATTGAACAGAAAACAAACCAAAGAATTAAAGAATGAAACCTGAAAAAATCCAAAGAGCTGCCTCCTCCTCCTCCCACTTAAATTTGTCGTTGTTGTTGTTGTTTTTGTTTCTTGGTTCCCTTTTTAAATTTGTTTTTATTAAATGTTAAAATAATGGTACATGGGAAATCATGCATTTTCTTTTAAATTTATTTTCTATTTTTTTTAAATCTCTCTTGGTTTTTAAAGTTTTTTCTTTTTTTTCCTTTTTCTTATTTTTTTATGCTTTTTTGTTATTGTTGTTTCTTTTGTTTCTTTTCTTGTTGTTCTGTTTTTTGTTGTTTTTTGCTTTTGGAAGGTTTCCCCCATGGTTGCTTTCTCTCCCTCCCCTGCCCTCCCCATTGCCCCTGCTCCTCTTCTTCCGTTTCCTCCCCACCTCCCGCCTGCTCCTTCCCCAATTTCAGCTCCTGGCGGTGGCTTCATACCGGGGTGGTCCGGCGGTTGGCTGTGTTAGTGTGGATAGAGTCCTTGTTCTCTTTCTGGATACAGTTGTGAACTTGGAGGAAACTGTTATCCCTGTCAGAATTGTAGGTGGCGGTGGGGGTGGTGGCAGCCTTCAGGGGGTCCCTGGTCAGGGTATACATCGAGATCTCCGTTGATGGGAGGGTATTGAACCCTTTGATCCCGACGGGCGAGGCATCCCTGGAGTGTGAAGGCTCAGTGGAACGGGAGCTGGAGCGACTGCGTCTCTGATAGCGGTAGCGGTAGCTGGGGATGCGGGTGATGGCGGAGGACTGGAGGTAGTCCGTGGCACGAGCGTTGGCACGCAGCTGTTTGTGACGGTCAATAAACATGTGGACGGCCAGCACTCCCACCATCTCAGCTATAATGAAGGACAGGGCCCCAAAGTAGAAGGACCAACCATAGGAATAACTGTTCTTCTTGGAGTCGCTCTTTGAGGGGTCTCCAGCATTGGCTGATATGTACACAATGATGCCAATTATATTACTCAGACCTGTGGGTGAGGGTAAGAGAGAGAGGAAAACATTGGAGTATCCTAGAAGGAAAGGACAGCAGGAGGTTAAAGCCTAAGATCCCACTGGTCCTCCCAAGAACAGTCCAGTGCTGGTGAAAGCCTGTTTGCTCACAGCTCCCCAAATGAGCCTCTAGCCTTGCCCTGTTTGGAACCCTCTCTAGGGAGTCCCAGGTTAGACAGCAATTCCTCCACATGTTCATTGAACCCAGACCTTCATCCTGCTGCTGGCACCTGAGTCAGCCCCGCTTGTCTCCATGAGACACACGCCCCTAGCTGATGTAGAGAGGAGCTTAGTCTCCATGTACACAGAGCCGGCCCACAACATTTTGTCACCTGAGGCGGGGAGCTCAAATGACGCCCCCATATCCTTTCGCTTGGGCCAAAACTTTGAAAGGTCTCAATTCTGCCTTCTTCCTGTTCTACTCCTCTCATGGTACTGCTCTGCTACCTACATATGCACCAGCAGCAGACACAATTTTCTACACTCTGGATCCTAGTGGCGCCCCTTTCCCAGTCTGGCACCTGAGGCGGCCGCCTCAGTTCACTTTATAGTAAGGCCAGCCCTGCATGTACATCCAGTTCTGAGTTCCTGCCTTTCCTTGCCTACGCAATCTAACCCTGCCCTGGGGAAATTTATTTCCCATATTTCTAACACCCTAGATGAGCACACCCCGTTGACATGATTCATGGTTTCATCTGTCTCACGTCAGATTCTGTCCAGTGGTGGAGGTAGCCATGTAACTGAAGGGAGATGGGGCCATTTTGTTTTTTGCCTACTGTCTTAGTACCTGTAGAGGACTCGCTCTCTCTGCAAGGACTAGCTGCCATTTTGTGTTTCAGTTCAGATGCAGAATGTCACAGTGAGTCACTGTGTGCTCTCTCTCTCTCTCTCTCCCTCTCTCTCACTCACAGAGACTTTACATTTGCTCTTTCTTGTTGAATGTTATCGTTTATCTGAAATAAAGCTCGCCTGGACTGAAAAATGCATGTTGCCCTTTTTGCCTGTGCAAACATACCACCTCCTTTCCCTTCTGCCCCTACTGCTCCATCACCTGGACAGCCTGCTACTGTCTTTTCCTGATGGTATCTTCCGTGCTATTACTCTTAGTCTTCAATCCCTGCAGCCCATTCGTCCCTTGTCTCTTTACCTGCAGACACGAAAAAGATGCCGGCACTAAGGATGATGTTGTGCCGGGTTTTGTAGAACTCGCTGGCTGCAATGCAGAGTCCTCCCATGAAAAGCAGAATCACACTCAGGATCGGGAAAATACTAGAGGCCCTCACAGCCCCTGTGAAAAAGAGAGGGAGAGGGGGAGAAATAAGAGCATAGGTAGGAGCCAGAAGAAAGGGGGAAGAGAAAACAATATAGGAGACAAAGAGATGGAGCGGAGGTGGGGGAGGGGAGGAGGAGACAAATACAGAGGGAAAACAATAGCATGTATTGTATGGGGGAGAAAGAGGGGAAACAGAGAAGGAAAAGAAATATGGAGAGGAGTGATTCAGGGAGGAATAAAGACAAGGGGATGGAGAGAGGGAGACAAAAGCAGAGAAGTGGTCACAAATGGATCATCCACGTGTTGGATGGTCATTAAGACTATCAGAAGCCAGTGACAGTCAGGGGGCCTGGTGGCAGAAGTTTACCTGGGACTCTTTCATACCCTGAATCCCTCACAGGCATCTCACTCCTGCACTTGTTCCCACTCAGTGAGGGACTAAGTAGGACCCTTCATCTATTATTCTCACCTATAATGCAGTGCAGTTGGGCTTTTAATGAGCAGTGCCAACACCACAAATGCTTCATCCAAAGAGTCAATCAATGGTTGTTTGGAAAGTGAACTTGCCTCCTAAGGAGAGATTTGCAGCGAGCTGGAAAGCTGCTACGGGTGCAGGGTGACAATCTGTGGCTGTAGGCAGAGGCTGCAGCCATCCCTGGCACTGGGAAATAAAACTCGTAGCCTAGTCCTCCAGAAGCATGGCACTCCCAATGGTGAGCTAATTGCACATCCTCATGCATATTCCATCCAGCAGAGGACAACAGTGCAAACACATGCACCCTCCCCGGAGCAACTCACACTTATTCAGTCATTCTGCCCAGCAGAGAGCACTGGTGTGGACCGACATATGCTGCACAATACATTACAGCAGGTATAGTCGGTATTTTTATGAGAGGCCTCTCCGCTCTCTCCAGTAGAAAGATGAAGACATTACAGCGTGAAATACACACGTGGCTGGAAAAGAACGTGCCTCAATGCAAGAACAGCGCAATGCAAATCTTCTTTCAGTGCCAGAGTGGGAGAACCAACCTGTATAAAGCAAACAAAGGGGGTTTCCCTAGACAGCAGGAACAGCCAGTTCACAGGCCCTGTGGGAGAATCTATCCCTTCTAACAGGTACAGGCACTGAATTCTGGTTGATGCTGAAGCACAACTCCTGCATGGCTATAAATCCAGAGGGTATGAGGAAGCTCTCTCCTGTTCCCCGGTCCTGCCTAGTTCCACCTCAGGGAACAGGATGTTAATAACCATGCTAACGGCTTTGGGGAAGTGGGGGAAGATTTAACAGTGGGGAGCCAGGTGACTGTAAGCAAATGCCAAGGAGATGCCTGCTGTGCGGAGGGGCCTTGTGGAGATTTTTAGCATTCCCAGCTGGGGAGAACACAAGGTCACAGTGTGAAATTGAGAGCAGAGGACACTGCAAGGCGTGAAACTCTGCCCTTATCTAACCCGTTCAGTTGCCTTATTCATTTCCACAGGGTCAAATTACCATGGAAGAAGGGGGTGCTCACCGAACCCACCATCCCATTCCAGAGTCCAGGGCAGACCCTGCAGTCTGAAGGGGAGGGGAGCTGTTCATGTGTTCGGAATGGCTTCTACCCAGCCTCAGTGTCTTAAGGGAAAGAAAGACGCTGCAGCTTCCTCCTGACACAGGCCATTTGATTGCAAGGTACCAGAGCCATCTTATCTGCATGGTCAGCAAAACCAAACTGAGTCCGAATCAGGCGATCTGTCGTCCCAATCTCCTGGCCACTCTGATCCAGGCAACAACCTAATCTAAAGGTCAGAAACAACCTCTAGACCAGTGTTCCCTGTAAGCTTAGCACTTGGGCGGCCACACACAGGGCCGCCCGGGGGGCCGCAAGTGGGGCAATTTGCCCCAGGTCCTGGGCCCCAGAGGGGCCTCCACGAATATGTCTGAAGTCTGAGGTCTATAGTATTTTTTTTATGGAAGGAGCCCCCGAAATTTGCTTTGCCTCAGGCCCCCTGAATCCTCTGGGAGGCCCTGGCCGCCCAGGAGAGGTTCAGGTGTCACCCAGCTAATCAGCAGAGTGCCCACAGCGGGCTGCATGTGTTTCTACTGGTGGTGCACAGCCACACGTGCGTTGGTGCACACAACACAATTTATTCTCCACGTGAATGGGAAGCAATTAGAGGGAACATTGCTCTAGAGACACTCATGCCAACACTACGAAGCCCAGCCCAGGTGAGGCCTCAACATGAACAAGCTCCAATTTGGCAAATGTCCTGGGAAGAACCTGGAAGTCAGGTCCTCTCCAGTCAGGCCTAGCTCAGCATGAGGCTCCTTCTACCAGACATGACACAACAAAGACTTCACGATTAGTCTGACCAAATGCCAAAATCCCTCTTCAGTGAGCTCTTTCCTATGGGATTCTGTCTTGGGGATTTGCTTTAAAGGGGACATTGTCATGGATAACAGGCCTAGCATTTGACCTACACTTGTCTCCTCTTGGAGGAGACAGTGATCTGTGTAGTCTTCTGTGGGCTGTTCCCCCAGAACAAAATGTTCCAAAGCTCTAGTTAGTAAAAAGAGATCAATGCCAGAATGCAATTCGTCACTAGCAAACCTGTCAGAGGTAATCCTACAGCCACAAACCAGCGTGCCCGTGCCCATGCCCCTGCTGAGGCGTATCACCCACTTTTGCAGCCCTGACACTCAAGCCATCTGGCAATCAATGCACCAGAAACACATTTTAAGGAAACAGTCTCCCTGGCATTATTGAAAACCACAACAGGTGGGCAAATATTTTAGAACTGATGAGAAAGTCGTAGCATAGTCTGTCTATTTCATCCACATACATGATCTTGGAAGAATCCCAAATCTTTCAAATGCCATGGTGCTACTGGGCTTCCAGCATGCTCCAAACACACACATATATGTCACAATTGGAGACATCGAGAGATTCCCTGCCCTACCAGATCCCTGGTGCTTAGCCCACACAATTAAAAGCTGCTTCTTTTGGATGCCTTTAGAACAAAACTCTCCTCTTGGGACGTCATCAGGAACTGTGCTCATGGAGGAACAGTTGGACACAGAGGTGGAGATTAGCTCAGGGAACCCGAGACAAGAATATCCCTCTGAAGATGCCTCTGTTGTAAGGGGATGACTGAGCCTCTGCTTTTGCACAAAGCAGAAGTGATCTCTTTTCCTCAGTGATGGTTTTATGGACCACAGAGAACTATACAGCTTTCCAGGCCAGCTCCATCTGCCCATTCATGGGAGTTGTGAACTCTGCCCTCATGTCCCAGGTTGAACTCTGATCTCTGCTGTCTCTGCTTCCCATTTGTGTGATCTTCCAGAGATGCGCCACGCTCTAAGGCTACGTCTATACTACAGGCTTCTTGCACAAGAACTGTTTTGTGCAAGAGTTCTTGTGCAAAAGATCTTGTGCAAGAGTGCATCCTGACTGCCATGTGCTTTTGTGCAAGAGTGTCCATGGCAATGTGGACACTCTCTTGCTCAAGAAAGCTCAGATGGCCATTTTAGCCATAGGGGTTTCTTGCACAAGAAACCCCTGTTACCCATCCACACTGCCTTCTTCCGCAAGAGCTTTTGTGCAAGAGGGCTTATTCCTCATGGGGAGAGGAACAACTCTTGTGCAAGAAGCCTTCTGTTCCGATGCATTACTGTAAATTTACTTGTACGAGAACACACGTGCAGTGTAGACGCTCTGCAAATTTTTCCGCAAGAACGGCCATTGTTGCGCAAAAAGCCTTCAGTGTAGACGTAGCCTAAGTGAAGTGTTTCTTGCTGTGGCCCTGGTGCATACTCCTCAGTCTGTTCTGTACGCCAAAGAGCAGTGTTCGCTCTAACAGGCTCTTTGCTTGCCATGCAGTTCCCTGTGTCCCCCACTCTACGGCTCTTATCCACAGCCCACTTATGCAAATGGTCTGTCCGTGAAAGGTGACTGATCAACAGTTCTGGTGACAGAAGAAGGTGCTCCTCAGACCTTTCCCATCTAAGCACTGCCCAGCACAAGCCTACTTTGTTTTAAAATCGGATATGGTCACAGTATAAGAATTCAGTATATGAATCCCTACCAACAAGGACAGCAGCAGAAGAAGTGGTGTTAGCTTTCATGCTCCTCTTCCCCAAGAGCATGCACACACACACACACACACTCCTAACCTCCCCACAAGTGTGCCTCCCTCCCTCCATGGAGGGGTTATTACAGCAATGGGCAACCTAGGCTAGTGAGTGGGCCACATGAGTGACCCTCCTTCATCTCAGTGGGCCGCAAGATTGTTGTAACCAAAACATTCTCCCAGGAGAGGGTAGCTTTGCTAACTGCACTCATGCACCTAGAATTTGCGGGGTGTGCTGATTGAACCGAAGCAGCGATTGGACTGGGTGCAGAGGGAGCACGTGGCTCTCCCAGTCAATGCTGTGTGCAAGCAGCACGCACCTCATGTCACGTGCTCTTGCTTTACATGGGTGTCACGTTAATAATATTGGTAGAAAGAAACAATGCACATTGAAACCAGTGGAATCTGGCAACCCTGCCTATGGGAATGGTAAAGAAAGTGTCTCATGGGCTCCACGCAGAACCCCCACGGGCTGCATGCAGTGCTGGACTGAGCCATACTTGTGTCCCAGGCAGCAGGCGTGCAGCGCATGCGCAGCCCTGCCCCTGGGCACGTGGCGCCTGATTGACATGGTAAGGGGCACCGTGCCCCCACCGTACCCCAACCTGTGGGGGGTGCCTGATTGAACTGGTAAGGAGAGCCGCACACCTGGGCACTTGGCATATGTGTTGCCGCGCCCCTTACCACTTAAATCAGGTGCCCCCCATAGGTTGGCGCCCCGGGCAGCTGCCCGGCTAGCCCCCCCCTTAATCTGGCCCTGGCTGCATGTGGCCCTCGGGCTGCAGGTTGCCCATCACTGTGCTACTACATCGAAGGGAGTTTAGTCTTTATGCCCCCATTCAATTCTCAGTTGCTTTCCTGCGACTGCTGCCGAGGCTGCTAATTAGTGTCTGTCATGGTGATCGTTTCCACGAGGTGACTACTTGCTCCAGAAATAGATAAGACCACTGACTCATTTTATATGCATCAACAATTGGCAGAGGGTAAACAACTCCTGGTCACAAATGACCTGGATGCATTAAATTCAGTGATGCAGAAGAGAAAGGCTTGTGACCCTATACCTAAAGCTTCTAATCTCCTTGCCTGGGGACCGGATGGAAGAAGTGACCTACAGTTTATGTGTAAGGCTCTGTAACCTATCCTCATTGTGCAGGGGTACTCAGTCCCTTCCACCTGAGAAATGACTGCAACGGGGGACAGTCAGTGCTTCTGTCGCTTTCCCTTCTCCTTAGAGCCATTTGCACTGGAAGCCCATTATCTGTGTTGCTTTTCCGACTTAGTGGGATATTTGCTTGCATCTTGGAGGTGCTTCCTTCTCCTTGTCAATGTTTTCCCACGGTATTTAAGCAAGAGGGGAAGTTGAGGGGCTACAGATTCTTATAATAATTGAATACCTTTAATTAAAAAGCCCTTTAATTGCCAGTGCAAGTTTGAATCTGGCAGCATCCAGTAGATTTGGTCTTGTGGAGGTGGGAGTGGGTTCATTAGTGAGAGGCAGGGAACCCTGGGAGACAGATATTCAGAAGGTCTTAAAGACGCCCCTCGTCAATTCTTCCAGATTTTGCCTCATCTGGCATGTTAATCCTCAAGGGAACCAGACTTTGGACAGTGTCAGCTACAGGAAGCAGAGGGCACCAGGCGCTAGCACCTACAATCAGTTCCAAGGAAAAGAGCCTGCAGACTTACGGAGGAAATATTCTGCTGTGTCGGCTTCATAATCTGTATCCTCAGGGAAGTGATCGATTTGCTTACACAGACCTTTAAAATTCCCTGCAAAACAAGAGAAGAAAGAACAAATGAGAACATCAAAAACCAGCCCAGGCAAACAGCTCCCCTTTGGACCATTTTTTTTTGCCCTCTCTGCCTCCTTCCTTATATGCCTGCACATTAAGCTGTCAACCAGTCTCTCCTATACTCCCCCTTCACATTTCCATATGCATATGGAAACATAGGAATTGCCACGCTCCGTCAGACCTAAGATCCAACTAGCCCAGTATCCTGTTGGTGACAGTGGCCAGCACCAGCGACCTCAGAGGAATGGGTCAGAACTCCAAAGTAGGCAGGTGTGAGATAATCTCCCCTCCCCCACCTCCGCACATAAGGTCTCTTCCTAATGCCTAAGCTGAAATCCTGAAGCATGAGGGATTTTTTGTGAGCATTAACTATGATAACGCTAAATATTCTTGATATCATATAGATGTCCACCCCTTTCTAAATCTTGCTAAATCCTTAGCCTCAGTGACTTCCTGTGGCAATGAGTTCCACAGTCTGTTTCCACTGTCTTTTAAATCTCTTTTCATAGGAGATTTTTTTCAGGCCTTTAGTTATTCTTGTCAATCTTGTCTGACCCCTTCTAATTCTTCAATTGCACCCTGATTACACATATATGGTAAGGAATCTGTCAGTGAACTGTCAGTAATAGTAGGGCTCTTACCCTCACCAGACCAGCCACTTGCAGCACAAGTAAGCACTGGCCAAGATACTACAACATGCACACACAGCTATCGACAGACTTCCAACCCGACACTCTATATTTTGGTGGGAAGGGCATAGCAGTTTATGTCCCTGACCCTTGCTGACACCTTTTGGGCTAGACTCGCAGACCTGTGGTTACACAGCTCTGGCATCACTCCGCCCCTACCTTGTGGTATCAGGATACTCACTCTATTGCAAAATGAGACCATGAAGACAATCTTGTTATTTATTTCTGTGGGTTCCCCCTTCCCCCGCATGCAGGGTCCCTCTCTTTTCCTGAGTTTTCTCTTGGCCTTTACAGTGGTATCATCCATATAACACTGAATGCTCTTGATGAGGACAGTGACTGAGGCAATTGGGTTTGCAGGCACCGGTCCCTTAGGCTCCACAGCAGGGGTTCAGCCGGTGCAGAGGTATTTGTGCAGAAGACCTGGGCCCAGATGCCTTAATGTTATGGAGTAGCTGCTCTTGGCATTGGCAGCAGCCTCACCTGGGATGGGTTGAGGGGAAGGGAGCTCTTAGATTGATTGTGGAGCGTGAGGAAACGTTAGGGAACTGCACTGCCTTACAAGGAACCATGCTAACAATGCCCAGGACAGTGACTGGAGGAGTCAGGAACGGAGGAGGTAGGGTCCCAATAGCCACTGTAGTCTAAGCTGTTGCACAGACGGAATAGTATTGGTTGTGAGGTGCACACTCAGGTTACTCCAGTCCCAGTCCTTCCCAGCAGGAGGCCATGGAAGGAACAATACAGGTGTCCTGGTTAGGGGAATGTCCTGGGAAGATTATTTGTGGACAGGACTTTGGGACATTTGAAAAATGTGATCAAGCACAAAGAATTCATCCCAGGGTTTACTCGGAGCCCAGACTCTGCTGCAGCAGGACTTTGGGAGTTTAATGCAAGTCATGACTGTGTCGCTGTCCATGCAGTACTGATAGTTATGCTCCTCAATATCAAATCTCCGTGCTTGGCTCCTGTCTGATCCATTTATCTTTACTGTTTTAAAGGCACTATATGGTATCTAACAACCAAGTCAAGGAGCTCCCATTAAGGAGCTGGGACACAGCAGAGGTGAATCTAAGATACAAGTGTATTAGAAGGTAGGAACAAAATATCTTTGGGAGCCTCCGAAGTTTTTCCTCCTCGTTACCCATATTCAGAGCAGTTGATTGCATGCTGCCCCACCTCTTCCTGTGGACTGCAGAGGGGAACCACTGTGCCCTTCTCACCGCACCAAGCCCCGCATTCAAGAAGTACCTGCAGTACAGCCATGGTTCTCCTAGAAAGATTGCCTCACAGCCAAGGAAACCACTGTGTCTCCCTCCCGCGCCATGACCAGCACGCACAACAGCTGCATGCCATGCAGGCAAAGCACAAGGCACTTGAGCTGCCTATGCCCACGTGTGGCACAAACCCTTCCCTCTTGTTTTTATGGTTGTCTGGATGTATTCCGTGAATGGCTGGGTTCCGCTGACTCACCCGTTACCTCTCACCGTATGGTGTGCTCCTGTTTGCCATGGGAGGAGTGTCCTTTCCTTCTCTTGCTCCTGACTGCTTGTGACAGCCAGCAGTCTGGGAAAGAAGAGCCCCTCTGACCTAGAAGCTATCTTCTGCTGGGCCCCTGGCCAGGCCTGACTGCTCTGCAGGCCCCATCTTCTTTGTTTTCCCAAACGCCAAAAAAAGTAACTCTCATCCACCGCATGTGCCATCATTCTGCCCAGAGTTGCAGGGAACAAAGATTACGTTGTCCCCTCTCTATAGTTATGTCTCTACCCCTTTCCCGTGCTTAAATTGCCCACCTTCCACCTCTCATTAGCTTGCCGCTCTAAACCCTTTAATATCGTCATGGTCAGCGGCACCTCAGCTGACTGTCCCCTTTCACTGGTGGCATCAGAAAAGCCTCCAGCCATAGATTTGACTTTTCCAATTGGCAGATAGGAATCATCCTACTTGCATCTGACGAAGTGGGTCTTTGCCCACGAAAGCTTATGGTCCAACACTTCAGTTAGTCTATAAGGTGCCACAGGACTCCTCGCCGCTTTTGCAGATTCAGACTAACACGGCTACCCCTCTGATACTGGGGGGAAGCAGACAGAGTCAGGTGAATAAGGAATAACAGAGGAACACAGCTTTTTGGGAGGAGCCTGAGACTCTGTGTGTGAGAGAGAGTGAGAGTGAGAGCAAGAGAGAAACACTCCTCCCTTGCAGGATCCTAGAGCCTGAGGCCAAACATCTACACCCCAATTAAAGCCCCTTAGCCCAAGCCCCACAAGCAGAATCAGCTGGCTTGGGCCCGCCATACACTTTTAATTGCACTGTAGATATACCCTCAGACAATGGGGCAAACTTCACAGCTCTGGATGGGGCACAGCTTACTCTTTGAAAATCCACTACCAGTAATAGGTGCCCAGGGCAAGCAGGTGCCCAGCCACTGGGATTTTCACACCGGCCCTGCTGGATGACACTGTGCTACCTCCAAGCACTGCTGTTTGCTTTGTGTCTACACCAGGCTTTAGTCTGAAAAATGCTCTTGACTGCAGCTATCGGTTTAGCTCCACCAGTGGCAGCAAAGCTGGGAGGGCTTGTGCACACAGGGTGTCTGCTGTCACTTTAACCACCGTGTTGTTGTCTCAGAGCATATCTATGTGCCAAGGCGGTGAGAACGCCATTGGCCACCCAAACTTTGCCTCTGCTAGCACCTCAGCTGCTAACACATCCAGAGCCCAGCCAGATGAGAGGAAGGATATTGCAGTAGTCAGGGAACAAACTGGAAATCAAGAGACCTAGGTTCAACGTCCTGCTCCACTACAGACTTCCTGTGTAACTAATACTTAGGGTTTGTCTGTACTCAACATCCCACCTGGAGCTGGCTCAGGCTGAGGTGCTATAAGGGTAGACATTCAGGCCTGGGCTCGAGTCTGGGCCCCTTCTGAAGGACCGTATCCCTAAGTACGTCTACAATGCAGTATAAATCCAGGATTCAAACTCGGGCTCAAGCCTTACCCCATTTCTAGCTGCACGCAAATGGTTACTTCTGGGGACTTCTGCATCAAAAAGTTCTGTGCACAATTCTAAAATTCTGCAAAATTTGTCAAAATACCACAACGTGATCACACCAGTTTCAATTATTTTGGTAATTTATTACAAAATTCCTGTCAGCAAGTATGTCTAATAATACAGACACAAGCAATTTCCCATTGGAGTAGAGAGTTAAAGAAACTTCTATGATAACTCAGTTTCCTGTTTCTCTAACATCTTCCCCCTCAAGAAGCCAGCTGGGAACCCAGAAACCTACAACCCCCCCCCCAAGGACCCAGCCACAGCCCCACAGCCAATACACCTGTACCCCATTTCCCTCCACCCGGGAGACCAGCCATGAGAAAACAGCTGTTTTGCGACATTCCAGCTCTGGGAAGGAGGGGAGGATTGGGGAGAGAATTGTGACATTCCAGCTCTGGGAGGGAGGGGAGGAGCGGGGAGAGAGACCAAAAGTGCTGGGAGGGAAAGGAAAGAGCAGGTAAGTGCGGGGCTTCGGCGCCTCAGTGCACCAGAGGTGCATGGGGGAGAGGAGCACTAGGGGGTCCCCAGGCTGAAGGTGGAGCCCTCCACATCCCACAGTAGTGTCTTCTATGTGTGATCTGTGCTTTGCCAGGTCCAACAGCCCTTAGTGGTGGTCAGCAGCTCTGCAGCCCATTTCTATGGGTAGGAAATTCTGCACACACAATGTTAATTTCTGTAAAATTCTGTATTACGCAGAGGCGCAGAATCCCACCAGGAGTGAAACTGCAAACCTAGAACTTGAACCTGGGTTTCAGGACCCCATAAGGGTGGAGGGGCCAAGCCTAAGTCAACAAACTGGAATCCAGGGTTCAAACTGTATTGCTTTGCAGTGTAGATGCAGCCTCTGTGGCCTTGTGCTCCAGGAGTCTACAAAAATATTCCTCCAATCCCATGGGCTGACTTTCTTAGTTCTGTGGACTGGCATGTTTGGTGGACAGTCAAGTTGTTCCACATTGCACCCCAAACAAAGGGCTGATGCAGTTACCTTTTGGGAGGGCACTAGGAAGTGTAGGCTATGGGTGTCTGGACTCAGGCCTGCATAATGCAGTGTGGATGCTAGAGCCCCAGGCTGAGACACAGAGTTCAGTAATGCCTATCATGTGGTTACAAACGAGTTTAGATATTCAAGCCCTAGATAACAAACCCAGAGTTTGCTAACTCGTGTTCTACTAATCCTGTGCTCACAATGCAATTCAATGGGCTAGATATTCAAGCCCTAGATAACAAACCTAGG